TTTCAGATGAGGTGTAATCTTTAGCTCAAACTGCTGAATGAAACAGATTTAGGCCACTGTATTTAGAGAAAAAATTCTCTGAAGCAAATTATGAGGCTATAAAGAATCATTAATTGTGGTCATAGCATAGGAGACATTTCATTCACCATCCTCTGTTATAGAGCATTTAATCCAAACAGAAGTTTCCATTTGAACAAATTTATATATTGATCTCCAAAACGGTACAGGACAAGGTGGCTCCTCCCTTTAAAAAGGTATAAAAACATTCTCAGAGAACATCTCCTTGAAATCTCCTGTTCACTGCAACATTTCAAAAAAAAAAAAAAAAAAAAGAGTAAAAGACAACCCCCTTCCCCCCCAAAAATACAACCCAAAAAACCCAAATGCAAAAAAACACCAACCAAAAACCCCCAAACAATTCCAACCATTCACATATGCCTTTTTGGTCTCTTATGACTGTCTCTTTGAAAGCCTGACTCACAGCCTGCAGCTAACAAGGACCTTTCCTTCCAAATAAAAAGAGAAGAACAAGAAAATAATTGCTTTTATCTCAGCAAGAGTGGACTGCAATCACACAATGTGCATGACTGACGGAGGCTGGTTTCCCACTGTGCCTAATTTGCTAAGGAAGCCATCCCTTGACCACCACAGGATTGACTTAGTCCACAGTGAGGTGTGCTCAGAGCTCTGCTGAGCTCTAACCTCTCCAACACAAACTGAAAGCCTTCACACCAAGATTTACAGAGGCTACAAGGAGGAGACTGCCGGAAATAACTGTATTTCCTTGACTGAAAAAATCAACACCTGCCCGCACATCAGAGTTCTGAAAGTTTCCATAGCGAGGCAGGTCAGAAATAGAATTTTTAGAAGTGTTCCCAAACTGATTTTAGCAAGTGAAGATAAGCAGATGCCTGAGAGGCTCCACAATGCCAGGTGGAACTGTTCACCTCTGTGGACATTTTCCAGAACCCTTAGAAGAGTGGGTACACAGGCAAGTGTAAGGCACACAGCTCCAGGTCCTAACCTTTATACAAAGGGGCAGTTTATATTTCACAAACAGAACTTCTCTAAAGCAAATCAACTGGCCCAATACCGCAATAGGATAGAAAGTGGCAATCAATCATTCCCATTTCAGCTAATAAGGGTAAATTTTCTACTGTCTTGACAAATAGAAACTTCTGCCAATTATTCCGTGTGAACCACCAGCCAATGCTAGAAAGAACAGAAGGCTAGGCTGCCATTCCTTTAATTTTCTTTCATTTAAAACTCATTATTATAAATAAATTTGAAGTAGTGGGGACCTAGCCAGCATTGAAACCCAAGCAATTCTATTTACAATAAATACCTGCTATCTTGGTGCTACACACTCACCAGGACAATGCTTAACACACTGTGATAAAGGTGATAAACACAAGCAGTGAATATCAAGGAAGAAGAAGGCATCTGCAATCCATTCATCTTTAAAGAGAAAAAAAAAAGGTAACACTATTCCACACGGCAATTAAAATCTGAACAGTTGGAGGAATAAAGCAAAAACAAAAATATATCAAGGCAGGCCTGTGGAAAGGGAGAGAATAAAATGAAACAAACAAACAAACACTACAACAAAAATCAAAAATGCAAACCCACAGGAAATATCTGATGCACTAAGTCTCCTATTAATAGCATAAGAGTCACTGGCAGATACTATCACCCAGCATTTGTTAATTAACTGAAGATTCACGGATACAGGGGGCTTGAAAGTGGAAAGAACAAATGGGCTGCACAAACTGGCTCTTTGCAGAGAGCACTGTGCTTCCTACAAGGATACAGCATCTAAATCAGCCAGCGGCACTGCCTGAGTCAGAGAAAACCTCCAGGTAAATTCTGGGGTTCCCACCAAGACCCATTCACTTTTTATGTGTGTATGTCTATGATTTTCCATGCAATGAGTAAAAACAACCTGTCTGAAAGGCTTTTATAAAGAAAGACTGCAAAGCTTAGTGCATGTGACTTTCTAGGAAAATGAACGACACACTTCTGTGAAAACAGAATTTCAAGGTATCCACTTGGATTTATATTTTATTTTAATTTGTAACCCATCAGCATTATTCCCAAACACTATTTCTTCATGTAGAAGCATTCAAATAATTTTCTTTCTCATCACAGAAGGCTCTATGAACCTAACAAATAAACCAATGTTGACATACCTAAGCCTAGGGATTTATTGCACATTGCACATGTCTCTTCTGGAGACTTGTTGACAAATACTCAAACAGGCTCTGTGTCTTTGGCAAGATCCATGTGGTACATTTTTTACCCCCTGATCTGTGTCATCTGTCATATGACCAGGTAGCACAGTAATTCAGTAAAAGAAAAGAAAACTAAAAAATGTTTCCACTTCTCTTTGCCAGGACTTATACATCACTATGTTAGTAACCACTTTCTGTCATTTCCTTTGGAAAATATTGCAATTCAGAAAAATGCCAAGCAACAGCAATAGGTCGTCAGTTTAAATTGTAAATAATGATTGACTTTGTTCTAATTTTTTTTTTCCCAAGCATCCTTTTGGAATATGACATTGCCTGTGATGTCTGGTTAAAGGATTTAATTTTGTTCAATAAAGAGACATGAATTGGAAGTCAAAAGCTTTTAGAAATAAATTGGCATGCATGGGCTGTGGGAAGCTCTGCAAATACTGGGTATTTATAGACCCATTTTTTTTCTAGATGGAGAAGAGCAAATAAATTACAACAAACAATTTATTCAACATGATGTTGTTTGTTCATTTCCAGAATGTGAAAATAATCAGAAATTCATGAACAAATCTATCAATTATTTTAATAAATCCAATTACATGCATTCTACCGTTCACTGTTCTAAGTGCTCTGCTTTGCAAAGAGACAAGACTTACATAAATGGTACACTTGCTTCCTTTCATCACAAGCAATCAGTCCTGAGTCAGCTAAGTTCAAAATTTACCTTCTGTTTCAATGGAACTACTCCTAAAAGTTAAATGTGTGCTAAAAGAATTATTTTTTTTTCCCAAAACAAGGCAACTTCAGTAAGTGAGGTACATGCTGACCCCCTTTACGGATCACTGCTGTAGCAAGGTCTCTCATCTAATAACTTCAAGATGAAAAATTTTCTTTTCCACTACTGAAGAAGCCTTTCCTCTCTGCCAAGGAAGGCCTTGTGGAACAAAGGACATTGAAGGCTGCAGCTGTAGTCGTAGAAATCAGCACATACAACTAATATTTAGGGAAAACACACTGTGAGCATTTTCCCAACACTAACTGCAGCAGTGCATAAACCCTCCACATTAAGGGTACAAGTTCTATAAAATTCATGGACTTCAGAGTAGTTGAGTCCTAAATTTTAAAAGTATTTCTGCAGCTATCCACCCAGCCCATATCAGTGAAACAAGATGCAACTTTCAAAGTGATCAGAGGTTCTGAAAGTGTTATCAGAGTTTCAAGGGAGGAGAGGGGATCAGGTCTTAGAAGCCACAGATTCTTCCTTGGTGGCAATTTTTAAAAATGTTTCCTTCAGCTTTTCATTCCACAGCAGGTGTAATAAAGACCTTTAGCTTCAGTATTTTTGCTTTCCCTGTAGAAGTATTCTTAGTGTGGACACATGCCATGCCCTCTTAGCCTCAGGGGACTATTTGGGTGTCTAAAATTAAATGTTTATTGGCAGAATGGCCTGATGTTCTACAGAAACAGCATAAGGAGGGCCTTCAGAAATTCTCTCTGCAAGCCTAACTCTGCTCCTGCTAAAATAAAAGTTGAAAAATTCAATCTTTCCACCAGACCATTACCTAGGGTCCTCTCATCCCAGGTGTTGCAGCTTTCCTCTGGCACTGGATCATATTGACTACAGGCCAACTTTATAGCAGACATCTGCCAGAAAAGATAGTTCCACACTTCTGCCTGGAAGCTTTTCTCTTCCATCTACTTAGTTTTTGAGCTGGAAAGGGAACAGTTTTCAGGCAGGTCAGTCCTGGATCCAGCTCACCAGATGGCCACACAAACAAGGGTGGCAGAGAAGGGCAGGGAGTGGGAGGGTGCAGGATGCAGCCAGAGGTGATGAAGGTTTTTCAATGCCAGCCTGCACGTTGGCTGAAGGACATTTAAGTGATCTGATCATTTCATTCTTCAGCTCCTAGAGAGGAGCTTCATATCTTCTTGAGGGTCAGTGTCAATGAGATGACATCTCTCCACTAATTTGGAACCATTAATTGCAATTTAAACTGCTAAGCATTGTCCTTTCTGGTTAGGACAGCTCCCTCTCCCTTTCACAGTCTGTCTTGAAGAACACATAATTGTTTCAGTGTAGTGAGAACAGCATTATAGTGATCTCAGCTGCCCAAATACACCCAGACTCTACACCTAGGTGAGTCTACTAACATTTTCTGCCAGTGCAATTCAGCTTTGCCTGTAGTGACTCAAGGACTAAGAAACAAGGAGTAGAAAATGAAAAATTTTGTCAAAAACATCTCAAAGAAGGCATCCAGATTCCTTTCATGAATATGTCAGCATTATAAATTCATAGTAAAGTGTTAGTCACTAGGGTGTCTGAATGATTAAAACCTTCTGGGCTTCGAAGGCATTTTCTCTGCAGGAATTTGTCAAATCCTGTTCAGTTCACCTTTGGGAGCACTTAGAAGACAAATAATGTTACATACAATCTGGTCACTGTTAGATGCATTTCTGCCATTTTAACAAGTCTCTCTCTCTTCCAGAGAACAAAATCAACACCATCCAGAAGGTAAGCAAACAATCACATGCATGATACCTCCATTTAATAGCCAGCCATCCTTCCCTCAAGTATTACTGGTAAGTGGTATAGGTGGTACAATTTGGGTTATATTTTGATAAAGTAACACATTTTTTCCAAGGGAAGAGCTACAGAGAGATTCCTGCTACTTAAACAGCAACAGATATTGAGGAAATTAGGAGGGACCTCTAGGGCAGAAATGGCATCATAAAGGTAAAATGAGCCAACACATTGTCACCTACCTTACGTTTATTTGTTGGGCAAACATACAAGTAGCTCAAAATAGTCTTCAGACCAACTTTATCATTCAGTTTCTCATATGTTGTCCCATAATCTGTTGACCTACAATTCAAGAGAGATTCTTGTAAGTACAAACACTTAATCACAAAACCACAAGTCACTTGGCAGCTTTTCAATATAAGTCATGCTTTAAATAGCAGAATGGCTCTCCAGAGCTTTTTCAATGATTCATGTAGTATATAATGATACTTAATTATATACACACAGCATCATGTGCATGTTTATCATTTGCATTTAAATTAGATTAGGAAAAATTCAACCAGCATCTTCTCAAAGCATCTTAAACATGCCCAATAATAAATACTACATTCTGCATACAGAAGATAATGATTGTCAGAAATGCCAAATAGCAGACAGCAGGTTATCAATTCATCATATACTCCAAGCTTGGACTGATTTTGTTAAGATGGTTCATCTCAGCATATTCCAAAGTAGCTTCTCTAACACTGACTAGCAGAAAGGATGGACACATATGCTTTATTCTTGCTTTAAAAGCCACCATTCAGTAGAGAAAATAAAATATTTCTGAAATTAGGGTTGCTCAGAAAAACACTGACTACATATCTTGGAGAAGAACAAAGACAGTGAACAAATAAGACTCTCCAGTATCCCTGTAGGAGTTACTCTTAACATGTGACTGGAACCAAGATCAATCATCAGCAGAGCTTTTATTCATTTTGCAGCTCATGCTTTCCTGAATTCTGTCCCACTATCTCAGGGATTTAGATAATCAGCCCAGCCCAGTAGAGTTGGCATCCATAAATTGCAGAAAGGGACATGTATCTGGGTAACAGACATTCAAAAGCATAACAAACTCCTGTATCTCATCTGTAACATGTACGAGTGAGCCTATGTAGAACTTCACATGCAAGCAGTAACACGAATTTTCCCTTTTGCTAAGCACTCCAAAACCAGACATTCTGAAGTAAAATCTTGGCACTCATTATTTGCAAGTTCTCTCCTATCAGGGCAAGAGTGGCTAAATTCACAAAGGCATTTAAGGCCTTTAATGCTTACTTTTCTTTTTTTTTGGTGGAATATGGAGGGTGGAACATTTCTGAATCAAGTACCATACCTACATTCATATTATAGCTTCTGGGATTTCAGATTTTGTAATCAGTACATGAATAAAACAAGAAAGCAGCAGCTTAGGGTTTTATCCATGAAAGATGAATTGCACTAAAACGTGAATCTGCATTAAAGTTGAGTCTTTCTATTTAGGAACTTTATAGAAGCCTTTGCAGATATCTGCCTGCTCATATAACAACTGCCCTATGATTTATGTCTATAGATTTCTCCTTCCCTCCAATAAACACACGCCCTCCTGTGTGCATGTATGACCTTTGGTGTTTAGAGCATTAACGTCAAATTCTCAGCTGCTGACTGATCTTTCCCTTTATAAGGTCATCTCTCTCAGGAGCACATATAAACTAACTGAGCTATTTCCTCAGAGGATTGAGGAGCAGGATTCTGGGCTGGTTGTTTCTTTTACTGAATATTTCAGAGATGCTCCAGAATCCAGGTGAGGGGATCCACAGCAGGGTGCTGAACACAGCCTGGCCAAGGACTGCAGCTTCCCTTTGTTACCTCACCCCACCTCACCACCCAGTCCTATCAGAAATGAGTATTTCTGCTGCTCTGCCCAAACCCCAAAAGCTACCCTTTGTGAGGTTTCAGCTGACAAAGACATGCAAAGAGAGTAAGGAGTAAATTTGACCTGCTGAGTTAGGAAAAATATATTAATGAAATAATGCTGTTTTTTCTTATACCAGTGACAATGAATTCAAAATGGGATCCTTCAAAAGGGGATAGGAGCAAAGAAAATCTGAGACATAAAGCTTGCTTTGAAATTGTTCAAGAAAGGCAGCCAGTACCCCTGCCACAACACAGCAAAATTATGTCAACAGCCTATTGCAAATAGTAATCTCAGAATTGCCAGCCACTTCTTACTTCAAGTCTCTAGGCAATTGTTTTGCATTCACAGCTTTATTTACAGGTAACACTCTATACAGATGGAAGCGTGTGCTTCTGTCAACATCCATAAAAGAAACCGAAAGATTTAAAAGCTTAGAACAACATAATTTTTTTCCAGACGAACGAATTCACAAGCAATCAAAGGATCTACTATTAGATCTTACTCTCATTATTGTGTTCTAAACTGACAATAGCTAGTCCTTCTACCTTCCCATTTACCAGTTTTTTCTTTTGTCCCACTTTACAATTACCCTTAATTTTAACAGGGGCAAGGGGGGGGGGGGGGGGGGGGGGAGAAAATGTTATATATACAAGAGCAGATAGGCATCCATAAGTGTTTTAACACAAAGAAATGGCAATATAAACATTTGCAGAGCAATGGGAAAAAATAATTATATCAAAGGAACCATACATGGGAATAGTCCCTGCCTACATGGGAAGTCTCTGTTGGGATCTAACCCAGGCATATCACCAACCTGCATTTGTCTTATTTCTTATATATATATAAATTATATATATATGTATATATGTATACAAGCAGGCACTGATTAGCAGCCCAGATAACGAGCTTTCTTTATCTTATTAAATGGGTGTATAAAGCAGCATGAGACTCCTAACCCATAAAAACACATCAGCCATTGGATGGCCCAGCCAGCCTAACCTGGAAGAGCTGCAAAAAACAGATGCACCTCAGCAGGGTGCAGGCATTAATGACAGGGTAGGATCAACAAATTCAATCCCAGTTATCTGAAGGGGAAAGGATATGCAGCAATCAACATCTCCACATTTTGTGTGGAAGGCTGCTCCTCTGAAGTTCTACAGAGAGAAATCAGTTTTAGTCCATCTGTATAACATGAGCAAGCAAATGCCTGGAGAAATCATTGTAAAGCACTAAACCCAGGACTTGCAGAGCTGAAAACACAAAAATAAACTATGCCCTTTAAATAGCTACAGCTAATGGAATAACTATATGTAAATGAGTCAACAGTAAACCTTCCTTTATTGTGTCTTGAGCAGACATGTGTGTTGCAACGGTGTCTCAAATTGTTTGGGGGGAGAAGGGGGATGTGAGTGGTACATTGTGGATGTCACTGAAAGGCAGATGACAGTAGAAGAATAACATTCAGAAAATTAAAGTATTTATATTCAATTCTGAACTTCAAACCTGTCCCACCATATTAGTTGTAATTGCTATCATTAAATCCCAAATTTTACCAGTAGCTGTTTAAAATCCAACTCCCTGTTTTTCCAGTAAAGCAGAAGACAATGCAAGAAGATAAACATTTTCATGATTACTAGCTCATTTCACAGTATAAAAATGTACCAGAATTGTGGGATTGAAGCTCTGGCCTTCCCAGTAATAAATTAAAACAAAACTAGAAACATATAGAATAATTTCTGTTTTGCAAACTATTTTCAAGAAAGCTGACATTTAATAACTTCATTATTATTCATTGGCAGGGCTTTTCCCTCTCCTCCCGTCAGGGTAAATGACATTTCTATTACAGTATTATAATAAACTCCTGCACATTTTAAATAAAGTCACTGAATTCCATTAGTCCACCTACTGTCATGAATATATCTCAATCCATTCCTACCAATATTTCACAATTATAATAGGCATTCTGAATCAACCAGCAACATGAACCCTATGGAAATTTCCTTCTTTGTCAAGGAGCACAGACTGACTTCAGAGTACTGTCAGTTTGAATATATAGATTAAATAAATTCCCTAGCAAGTTGCTGTTTTCTCCTTTGTTACAAATTTAAGGTTGCCCGTAGTTATTTCACATTAGATGCTGAAGACTTGAAGAACTGAACAGTTGATTATTTGGTCAGGAGGCTTTTTTTTTTTTTTTTTTTTTTTTTTTGCATCAAGATCTTTCCAGAACACTCTATGAGAAAAAAAAATAAAACCATTACTTGGAGACTTTAAGCTGTCTCATGTCTCCTGCTTATTAAGTACAGCTTTCTTCCCATGTTAACAGATTAAGTTACTTGTTATAACACACATCATTAAGAAGCAATCACTTTAATTGGCACCATTTGCCTTTTTTTTTTTTCTTTTCCCACCAGTTACACCTGGTTTACACGTATTACCTTGACAGCTTCCCCCAGCTCCACCAAGAGAACCCTGCATCTCATGTCCTTATCCCTCTCCTTCCTCCACAGTTTAATTTGCTGCTCTAACCGTGGTCCAAGTGGCAGCCAGGACCAGCAGCACCTGTGGCGTGGTCTGTGAGCAGCAGGGCAGGGCAGGGCAGGGCAGCCAGTCCTGACCAGGGGCAGTGACAGAGATGGGCTCTGGCCTTTTGCACCTTCTGCACATGAATTCACCCCTGGCACAAGCCAGGCATTTTAAAGTTAAGCAATGACTATTAGATCTTGTGTTCCAACCTGACACATAACTGAGTTTGCCACCTGGTTTGCCTCCAAAGGGAATGGCCAGGTGAGCTCAAGATTTGCCAGTTGCTATCATATTAATCTCTGCAAGAGCAGATTTTTAGAAAGAAGCCTTTCAGACTGCAGAACTGCAGAGCCACAGGCTGCACTAATAAAAGGCTTTCAAATTAACACGTTTTTTAATAAAGGAATAATTAAGACATTAAAAATTATCTTTCATGTCTGAATGCAAAAAATACTGGAACTGGTAATTCTGGAGCAAATTCCTGTATTCCTGTATGCAGTGGTTTAGGCCTGCCTGTTTGTAATCTCTGCTGTAGAGTTGTTGACTTTTGCACTTTTTTTTTTCTGGGGAGACATTGAGGTTGAGGTGCTATTCCTTCATCCCTTAAATTGAAACTCTTTACTTTGGTTTCATAGCCAGGTAGTAAAGCTTCCCATTGATTTTTGCCACACCACCATGTTTCACAAAAGCTAGTAATGTCAAAGTCTTCTTCAACAGCTGGCCATTTATGTTCACATGTTCCTCCTGTTAAGCCCTTCACAAGGCATTGATAGATATCATTTCTGGTCTAATGCCTCTTTTGATTTAACTCCTTCATGTACAACCCTGCTATTTTTTTCCAGAAAGTAATAATGCCTGATCTCAGTTTCTCAGGGTGAAA